CCACAAAGATAATACAGGTAGGGTGTATTATCTTTGGATACCCATACATAAAAGGATAGGTACTTGGTGCACCCTGTATAACTATAATATATTATAACTAGAGTTGGCCAGTATAATTATCAATTAAAAATATATAAAAATGCAAATACTAAACAAATTAAAATTATCTTAGGTTTTGACACCACAACATGAAACAAATTAAATTTAATGTAGGTATCTGTAATTAATAGATAATAATATAGATAATTATTTTAAATAATTAAATTAATTAAATTTAAGCCTCCTACGTACCAGTTTATAAGCACTTTGAGCATGCCATTTGCAGGGCCTTAAGAAAATTGTTAGTATTTTATCATCGGTCTTAAAATAAATGCTACTGTCATTTTGGAGTAACTCTCTTAATTCCTGAATTCCTTCATTCATATTTTCCGGCGTTTCCCTTAGTTCTTCTTCCGCTATTTTTGCGGTTTCTATGGAAATTTCGCCCTTTCTCAAGGAAAATGGCCCCATCATCTACCAAACAAAAATTAAATAATTTTCCAAAAAAGTCATTGCATATTAAAATAGCAATTTACACGTTAATGTAAAATTAAACTATACAAATTTTTAATATTTGATTTATAAATAACCATAAAAATTAACCTTTGAGTTCGACTATTAATTTAATAATTATCTTGGAGTAACCTTTACTTTATTTGTTTTAATGCATTATTTCACTTATTCATTAAAAAAATTTTTTGAAGAATTATATATATTTTTTTGAAGAATTATAAAAAATAATAAATGAATTAAATGAAGGTTTTAAAATACAGAGTATTCCGAAAATAGTATGTAATACACTACTCGTGCTTTCTAAAGAAAAAATTATAAAGAAATTTTCTTTTAAAAATAGGTCGGCAAGTGGCCCCTAAGGGAGATGAGAGGCAAGGGGCGCCCCTGAAGATGGTATTTTATTATTATTTCTGGCAGCCTATAGGGTATATTTACCCCCAAATTTTTTGTGTGCCATTTTTTTGCAAGATGGTTGCAGAATATAAAAATTTAGAGTTTCCTTCGTAAAAAAGGTACTCTTGTAAAACATCAATAAAATGCAACAATTTCGAATAAAAATAACAAATTACAAAAATAATTTATTTTTCAATTCAATTCATTTAACAAAAACTATTAATAAAAAAATACATATATTAATAATAAAAAACATCTTTAGGGCCCTCAGAGGCCATTTGCCGACCGATTGAAGATTATTGCTTACTATTTTCGGGACACCCTATACGTAAATATATACGTTTCTAGTTTTAAATTATATTTAACTGTTAAATGTTCACTTTTGTTATTTTATTATATTATAAATTATACTATAAATATTTAGTTCATAATATTTAATATTGAAATAGGAATGCCCTATAACCTTAACTACCGCCAGCAAAACAAAGTAAAAAATAACCTATTGTGTTTTAGAATATTAATTTTTTTTTTACTTTCGGAATATTTTTATTATTTTAAAAGTCTTTAATCAGGTTAATATGATTGGTATAATTTTGTAAAAAAACTATAAGTTTATCACTTAAATTATTTACTTACTTCCAAGCGTTTTAAAACAATTGTTAATATGACTCTGTACTTCATTTTGTACCGCACAATGTATCACCTTTGACTGATTGTTACTTTTTGCTAAATTATCCTATTGCCGTTCGATTAAATACAACGATTATTATTAAGCATTAATTACCTTTCAAAGTTTATTTTGTTATGTTATTAGCTAATTAGTTGCGCATATACAACGTAACTATGTAGAATTTTTATTTATTTAAGACGAATTTCAGTATAATTTATTGGTAGGTATAATATACCTGGTATTTAAATTGGATAAAAAATGTAAACACTGAACTTACCTTTGAACCTTTCACTTAAAACTCACGTAAATATGACTGGTCTTTAAATGTAACATAAACACAAAGCACACGATCAACCCTTAAAAATAAAAATATCTTTACACTGTACTTGTCTGAACTGATTAACACACATACTATTATGTAAGCCAAAAATTGGTATACCACCTTATCAAGTTGCCTTAGGACTCCTGCAATGTAGTGATTTCCACACATTTAAGTAGTACCTACCTTTGCAATGGCTTATATACAGGGTTGGTCAAAAGTCGACAAAGCGTTTAAACAAATGACTAAAAGGTACGTTGTTTTATTATTATTTTAGTACAAAGAATATTTCTCTTAAAGGAAAAGGTTTCCTTTTAACAAAAAACTTACAATTTTCTGGATAAATTCTTTTAAAGAAATTTAGTGCACGAAATGATTTCTATGAAAATCATTTTTTGGTCCAAATAAAATTATGTTTATATTTTATAATAAAATAATGGACGTTTTCTTAATTTTTTCTATATGTATCTACTTAAAGATGAATAATTTATTTTTTTATAAAAAAAATACTTGATACGAAACGTTTTTGTAAAAATTGACCTTTTAAATACACTTTGACATTTTGTGGATGGAGTTTTAGTCACGGGCTGAAGTTAGCAACAGGTTTTTAGTCACAGACTGAAGTTAGTTTTAAGTTAGTTGACAGATGTCAAATTTTTTACAATCGTTAAAAAAGTGCCCATCATGTAAAATAATACTAAATGTAAAACTTATTTTATTATCTTAATAGAAAAATACAAAAGTATTGAACGACAATATTTGAAAAGTTTGTTAATTTCGTCGGCAGTAAATTAGATTTAGGTTAATTTCGGGTGGAGAATATACCCATAAAATTATTCTTCACTGTCACTGTAAAAAACTGTTGTTAGTTTATTTTGAAGGGATATATTTCAATTTTCACACAAAAATTTGACATATTTACCGGCGCTCCGATAATAGCGATTTCCAAAAATGGCTACTCTTGTTTTATAGATGTCGCTTTATACAAATATTTAATGGACAATAATAAGTATTTGTCGTAGAAAAAGTAAAAGATTCAACTCGTTTATAAACTTTTCTGGACACTTATTAAATTAAACAGTAGCTCGCAAGCTTGCTTGTGCCCAATTTTCAAACTTGATACACAATATACTATTAAACGTTTTATGCCAATTTTTACCAATCGTTGCTACGTAAACTTAACTTAAAATCTAATTTGCAATCAGTTACAATGCAAGGTTGGGAATACATGTTTAATTAATAGAAAAATTGAAAACGGCAATTTTAAACATTATTTTTTGAAAAAATTGGACAAATTATTTTGTGTTTTTTATAAGATTTAACTTTTTTTATATCTTTTTTTAATTGCAAGGTAGCCTTCAATTGAATATAAATATTAGGATGACTTGTTTTAAACGAAAATTATTTTTTTCATCAAACAAAATGTATATACATATATCGAGGACAAAAATTCCCTGTTATCAGGTTTCAGGCCTTAATCTAATATTATAAAATTTAGAAATTTAGAGCATTTAATAAATGTTACTGTCGAATAAAGATAGGACTTATTTCTCTATTAATATTTTACATATAAAATAAGCAAATTATTGACATTTAAAGTGAAAAAAAAGTAAACGGAAATACCAAACACCCTGTCGAAAGTTTTGTAATACTAATTTCAAATTTTTTTACGTATAATTCAAAAATACAATAATATTTAAAGGGTGCCATTTGAAAAAATAAAGTTTCAGTTTAACCGGAAGTGACAGCTCATTGAAATTTTTTTTATTTTTTTTTTGTTTTCTATAAGCCTCTAATGAATCAGTTAGTTGAATCACCCTGTATTTATTGAGCTAGTAAAATTTAAAAAAATCCTAAATTTCCCATTTTATAACAATAGAAAAACTTTAAAATCAAAATTAAAGTACTTAGAAGTAGCGTTTTAAAGGGTTGAAAAGAGTTTTTTTACCACGGCCGTTAATAATTGTCTTTTTGGTATAATTTATTTTTTTTGTAAAATTTAAAATGAAGCATTTGCATGTTATTTCTAAATAAATGCTTAATTTTTACTCAGTCCAATTATTCCGAGCCTTTTTTCCGAGTTTCTGGTAGAACACAATTTTTAATTAATCTACTGAAATAATTTTGCGTAAATTGAAACAAAGCAAATAAAACAGTTTTTTATATAATTTGTTTATATCACACCTTTTTTGGCTCTAACTTACAAATCCGGGATCGGATTTTAATTTGTTTAACTTTAATGGATCATAAATTTAATTTCCTTTAAAATTATGTGTCTCAAGGTATATGGTGCCATTTAATTTTTTTATAAGGATAGCTAGAGGTGAGAGGATGCAACTTAAAAGTTGTTTAACACTGCATTTGTACTTACTTCCCGATATCTAAATCGACCTGTTTTTGCTCAAGATCATATTTACTATAGTTATATGTATAACTCAAAAGTTATTAAGGGAAATTTTTTAAATAAAATAATAACATTATTTAATAGTTTGATAAATGCATAGTTTGCATGCTATAAATAATTTATTAAAAACAATAAGAATCTCATATCAACTATTGTTTAACTTTATTACATTTAAAGTAGGTACTTAAAGTAATTGTTATTTTTATTTATTTATTTATTTTTATAATTAGATAAATACAATACAAATTAGGTAAATTAATTGGGTAATAAGAATCGCATTTATCTATTTAATCCATTCGATTATTTACTTGATTTTGAGTACTGTAAGTCAAAAGCACGTAATACAGTGGTTAGTAACCACTGGTTACTACATCTTGCTTATTCCACAATATTTTATCTTTCTATAAATATTTCATTATTAAGGTGTAAAACATGATTCATTTTTGTAACATAATTTTGCATAGCAAACATTTATTTATTTAAATTTCTTATTTCTAACGGAGCTTCTTTTGTTTGGAACTGATATGGACGGTTTCAAAACAGATAAATAACGATAACAAACTACAAGATTAAATATAACCTTTGCCTTAAGATTATAAATATTTATAAACGAGTGTTAAGATACACCCTATCAAAAAACGATAAGTTCAATTAATGTACGGTTTTTTTATAAAATACTTTATTTATAAATATTGTACAAAATCATAATACTATTTACTGTTTGTAGCCGAATTTGCTCCACTTCTTCATATGGTCCATGTAGAGTTCCAATGCAGGGTACCATTGGGCACTAGTGTAGTCAATTTTGGGGAGCTCTCCTTTATAATCTGCGGGTAAATGACTTGGTTGGAGGTGTTTGTGGAGGGACTCCATTTTTGAACCATGGAAGAAAATCTGCAAATATATTTACTTAGTATTTAAGTCAATATTAATTCAGTATAAGCTTACTCTGTTGGATAGTTTTTCCCTAATAAAAGGCTTGAATATCTTCCACACAATATTGAAAATGAAGGGCTGGTTAACCATATGAACTTCCTTAAGTCTCAATGGCATGGCGTCTTGGATGAAAGCCAAAAGTTTCATACTGAAAGCTGGACTTAAAGCCCTAACTTGGCTCATTCCCAAACCTTTGAAGTCCATGATCACTACAACACCCCTAACTTGGGTTTCAGGTTCCAAAACGGCGGATTCGTGGATAAGGAAGAAGATTTTAAACATGATGTCCGAGGTTACTTTGGAGGTATCCCAAGTTTCACCACAGTGCACGATGAGAACTCTTCTTCCCAAGTGATCTCTGCCCTTTAAGATATTAACGACATTGTAGTCGATTACATAGGTTTTCACGTCTTCAGGCATCAAGTCGTGTAGTTGATCGTGGTACTTCTTTTTGAATTCAGCAATTCTTTTGACCTACAAATGTTGTTTTGTTAAAAATTTTCTTAATAAACTATTTACATACCAGTTCAAATGCACTTTTGGCGTACCATTTGCATGGCCTGAGGAATATGGTCAATGTGGCATCATCATCGGCAAAGTTAAGAGTTTCATCACCTTGTATAAGTTCTCTTAACTCTTTCAATGATTTTTCTACAGTTTCTGGGGTTTCGTTTAACTCCTTTTCAGCCATTTTTTGGCATTCCTCATTTAGAGGAGATATATCCAGGTCGAAAGACATCTAAGATAATAAAAAAATATTAATAATATTTACTATTGCAATAACATAATTTCTGTTACTCACGTTTGCGTTTCAAGGGTACAATAAACTGTCAACTAAATTTTGAATCACGATTCTTCGTACGAGCTTAGCAATGGACTGCATAAATCTAAGTATGCCCAATTATTATATATAGAAAAACGTATTGAAAATAAGATAATAACAAAGTTCAAAAGTACATAAATTATAATAGAAATAAATTCCGTCACTGATAAGAGCTGAAATTTAAAAATTGATTAGCCATTCGGAGATGAGCCTATCAATTGCTGTGAGTAATAAGCGGACATTTATTTTGTCGCACAACACAAATATTTAATAAATATTTAAAACAAAGGTTAAGCAAATTTAAACACTTTGTTTTTTGTTTCTAATTTAATTCAGTTTTCGATTTTTGCAATCAAAAGTTGCATAACTTTCAATTGTCCTATGAATTATAAATGCATAAATTTAGTAACTAGGTAAGTAACAAAAGATTGTTTATAATTATAATTTTATTTTTGAATGAATAAATATTAAAAGTTTATGTCCTAGGATAGGTATAATTTAATATTTACCTTCTTTCCTTAAAAGAAAAATTTAATAAAAATGTATATTTACAAAACATTTTTCATCAAGCTTTTTTACTTTATTATAATAATAATAATAAATAATTTCACAATGCTTTTTATATATTAGTGTTTTTATGTATTATTTTATATTCACAGTAATCTTTGAATATAACAAAGCTTTAAATCCAAACCGAGCCAAACGTTCGCTATTTCGCTATGCCATCGTTTCTTTACATATTTAGTTCTTCCCACTAAATAGCCAAAACGGCTTTTTGAAAAAGCTAAGTCAAAAATGATATGACCCCCTAAATACACTATGTAAACTTTTAAAATTATTTCCACATTGGTATATTGTAACAAGTTTAATAAACGCCATTTTAGTCACGAATTTAATTTAGGCACGAGCCAGCTTGCGAGCGTGCTTAATTAAATAAGTGTCTAGAAACGAGTTGCATACTATACTTTTTCTACGACAAATATTTATTATTATCAAAAAATAATTTAAATTAAATATTTGCATAGAGCGACATCTATAAAACAATAGAGTAACTAACTTGGAAATCTGTATTACGGGCACGCCGGTGAAAATGTTAAATTTTTATGGGAAAATCGAAATGTATCCCTTGAAAATGGACAAACAGCAGTTTTTTACAGTAAAAGTAAAGAAAATGATTTATGTGCACTTCACGGTAGTCTCCATCCAAAATTAAGTTAAATCTAGTATACTGCTTGGGAAAATAAAAGGTCAGTACAATGTTCATATAAACTTTTTAATTATTTTTGTATTGAGATAATAAAATAATTTTAAAATTTAGTATTAATTTACAAGAATGGCACTTTATTTTATCCATTGAATGACATTTGACAACAATCAACTAACTTAAAATTAACGTCAAACCGTGACTAAAAACCTGTTACCTGTGAGTAAAACGTCATAAAGCCACAATGTGTATTTTAAAGGTAATTTAGTTTCATGGAAACATGTACATAATGGTTTACTTTAAACCTATTTAATTTGAAAATAAATATGTTTTGTAAATGTAGAGGAAAAATGCTTGGCAATGAAAATTCTGTCGACCTAAATTTTCTAAATCTTTTTATTAACAGTTTTTTTATACTATTTTTGGATTAAAAATATATCTTTTAAAAAATAGCAAAAATCGAGCTTTAAAATTAAATAAATACCATGGAATATAATTTTTTTTTTCAAAAATGTAAAAAATAATAAATTATTCATACCAATAAAATATATTGAGGTACCCGGTGCAAATACAATTAAAACAATTTATAGTATTTTTATTTATAAATCAGTATATTACAAAAAAATATTTAAAAAGTAATCTGAACGTTGTTCGACATACGTAATTGGTCGAGTTTAATATTCACTGTGATTTTAACCAATCGGGTTTTAAATTGGGAGAAGGCGACTATTAACATTTAAAATTGAGTGAAGTTAACAATTTGACAGATGTCAGATTTTATTTTGTTTTTTTTGAAAATCAATTATCTATTTATTGGATGAGATAACGTATAGTATTACACTCGAGATTATGCGAATTATCTCTCGTATAATAATATAACATTATCATATGATAACCAAAATTAACCAAATATTATTTGGTTAGGGTCATCCATCAAGTACATACGTCATACGTTTAGGGGAAGCTGGATCAAACACATATTATAACTATTTTGCACTGTGTAGTCAGTTTTCCTCTATCAGGTCAGGTTTTCAAGAAATTCTATCCAAAAGTAGACTATCGCAGTACACACACCTGTGGTATTATATTCATAAATAAAATCATGTGGCCAAATTAACCAACTTCGAAGACTATTTCATTTGAAGATATAAAGTTAATTTCCATTCCCCTAAAGGATGGCAACTTATTATATGACACCCTGTATACATAAGTGTCCAATATATTTTAACCAAATATTGATAAAAAATATATATCTCTCCTGCTAGTACCAAGTTTTATCGTAAGTAATATCATAAGGGCATCTAATTTTTCAGAAAAAAATAGAAAAAACACGTTGCTAAGTAATATTTTAACAAGAAGCATGAGTGCTGGTGGCAACAAAAATCCGAGTCGAAGACGAGGATTTGTGCACTCGCACGAATGCATTTTGTTAAAAAATATTACTTAGCATTGTGTTTTTTCGATTTTTTTCACAGGAAAAATTAGATGCCCGAATGGTATTTGACAAGACTATTTCATGAGTAACAATTATTCTGCATGCACATAGCTTACAAAACTTAATTGTTTATGGTACAATTAAAATATAAATTGCAATTTTGGTGACAACACCTTTCAAGATTTGCCGCTGGTAAACTTGAAAAAACTGCTGACAGGTGCTGTCATACAGTTTTTCCACCTAGAAACCATTTATAATTCAAAATTGCGCGTTTGTGATTGGTGTAAATTAAGGCGAGGGAAATAGTCCACAACAAATACCTATTAACCAAATATTTTTCAATAAATGTTTTTTGTTTTTTTTTCGTACAATTAAAAATAAATTATATTTATTTTATTTTATAATTTATAGTAAATATAATTTTCTGAGAACTATGAATGATGTTCCATGCGTAGGCGTATTTTGAACAAAAACACGATAAAAAATCACAATACAATATTCTTTATTTTTTTTATTATTTAATTATCATTATCGTTTAATAAAATCAATTAAAACTCGTGAAACAAAATTGGAATTTGATACATGTAGTAAATTTTTTTATTAAAAAAAAATATAATAAATATCTAGCACCATAGGTGCTCGATAGGAATATAACTATTATTTAATCAACACCCATTTCATTTCTTAACTTTAACTGGTGGGAAAAATTATACTTCCCCAACGGGCTAAAATTAGCTTTAAGTTTACACTGCTTGACAGCTGTCAGATGTCAAATAAAATTGGTTTTAAATCCCCTGTGGTAGTTGGGTAAAATATTGTATGCAACTATTGGTCAAAAAAGGAGATTCTACTCGGATGTTACCGCACTCGCTATCCTCATGCGGCAAACTCCACGATCGAGAAATCCCCTCTTTTTACCACTAGTCGCACAATTTATATAATACATACCTACATAATATATATATTTTTTGCTGTGAGTTGAATTGAGTGAGAAAATTAGTTGGTACTGTACAATTGAAGACCTCGGGGGAAGAAGGTGATATGCCCAAATTCTGAATTCATGTTTTCATAGGTATAAATGAATAAAAGTCAGTAACATATTCAAAAAGTCTTTTAATTCCAAAAGTAGTAACAAAACCTACATACCTAACTATGATATAATGGCTATAATATTTGGTTATATAACGGATATCAATTTAAAAAAGTCCGTGTTTCATTTTTAGCCAAAATCATATACTTACCACATGTGTGGTAAGTATATGGCCAAAATGTGGCTTATCACCCTCTTCCCCCGAGGTCTTTAATTGTTTAAAAGTTGTGGAAAACTAAAAAAACATTCTGCGCAACAGAAATATTAATGTTTCTACTTGCCCACAGATGGCGCCACTAAAAAATATTTTGCAGTTCTTTTAGATGTCGCGTCTATCGATCTTAGTTTATGACAGAAACGTCAATTGCAAAAACAAAATATTGTGTCAACGGTATGAAGCTCAGTGCCTGATATAAGAAAAAATAGGACATAAAATATTAACTAAAACTATGATTGACCGGGATTTCGTTGAAATAAATCAAATAAACGGATTTCTCACATTTCTATGGAGCGTAAGTAGAACCATTGAACATTAGCTTTTTAGTTCAAGGTTTTGATGTTTTTAACTGATTTAATTTTCATGAATTATAACAACTTTTCATATAATAATTTAGATAACTACTAATTAAATTACAACATGTTGAATAGAAAATTACCTGTGTTTTAACCTAAAAAAAACATCTAGAAATTTCAATAATTTTATATTTTCTTATAGATTGAATGGAGAGACCCTTGGCTGATAGGGCTATGTATTTTTCACGTATCAATATTTACCATGGCTATTTTTACTAGGAACTATGGAAATTTTCAAGCCCTTCTGTTTTTCTTTTTATGTGAGTATGGGTTCCACAAGGTTCTATGTTGAGACCTTTAAGGTAGACTGTAAAAAATGCTTATTTGTATAAAATAATGAAAAATGTTATGTTTTTGTTAAAAATTACAATAACTAACCATTTTTTTATTTTTAAGTAAAAACAAACATTTTGTTTAAAATGGTGGGTCTTTTTTCCTTAATTGGGTGGTAAAAATGCAAAAATTGTCAATTTGCTTGTATCACAGTAATTACTGTGGTGTTCCCCCTTATGGATGATAATAAGGTTTTTGCCAAAATATTAAAATTTATTTATCTTCATTTTTAAAATTAATTTTAATTTTAACTTTGCTCCAGATTTGCAGACCAAAATAAGCATACAATATTTATGAAAGTTAATATATGGCCAAATACAAAATTAAATCTATAACAAAAATTCAATTTTACATAGGTAGATGTTTTTTAATTTAAAATTCACAATGCATATTCATAAATATTTTTTCATTTAAATATATTATTTGATAACTGTTATGGTATTCGTATATATTTTTTTAATATCTATAACTATTAATATAAAAAGATATAATAGTATATTCTGTAACAAGTTTAGATTATGCAACTATACTTTTTCTACGGTTCAAAAAATACCATAAAAAATAATTTATTTGAGAGAAAGTGAGGTTAAGTTCGGTTTAAAATTTGTTAGATATTAAACACAGAGATGTCGCCACTAGTGTTTATTCCGTCATCCGATGATCATTCTGTAATACTTAAAGGAATATATGTCATTTCGCATTAAAAAGTGATATTAGAACAGTCATATTCCGTAATAGGAGTAGAAAAAACAATTTTTCTACTTCTATTACGGAATTTGACCCTTCTAATATCACTTTTATCTATGGAATGACATATATTCCGTAAGGTGATACAGAATAAAATATTCTATCATCTGATGACAGAATAAACACTCGTGGCGACATCTCTGTTTTTAATATCTAACAAATGTTAGACCGATCCAACCTCACTTTTTTCCAATTAAATTATTGTTCTATGGTATTTTTTGGAAACGAAGAAAAAGTATAGTCTGAAACACGTTTGGAATTGCATATTCCGCTCTCGTGAAACCGTCAAACTCGCCTTCGGCTCGTGTGACAAAATCTCCACTCGAGCGGAATATGCTAATTCCAAACTTGTTACAGAATATACTATTCTATGCCACCCAAAAATGCACTGATTGTTTATTAATTGCCTCTGACATAATTTACTGGCTCGGCTATCGCCCCGGCAGTGAAATGTATGTTTGGCGATAATATGTGCTTTCTACGCCTGGTCTATAATGTACTATTATAGAGCCATTCCACGCGTGACGGATGGGATAGTTGCCGTGTTTTTATTTACAAAATAATGTTGTTCTATTGTATTGCCAATGTCAAATTTTTATAAATGGTTCTAAACTGGAGCTGTTTAACAAGGTTTTTATTTGGCAAAATTGGGTATCGTGATTGACTGTCCAATTCCTTAAAAATTAATAATTTAAAGCGTAACGGTCGGGACTTTGCAAAAGTCCCGACCGTTACGCTTTAAATTATTAATTTTTAAGGAAATGGACAGTCAATCACGATACCCAATTTTGCCAAATAAAAACCTTGTTAAACAGCTTTTGTTTAGAGCTATTTATAAAAATTTGACATTGGTAATATGGTGGAACAATGTTATTTTGTAAATAAAAACACGGCGGCTGTCCTATCCGTTAAGCGTGGAATGGCTCTATAGTAACCGTTTTTAGATATCAATCCAGAAAATATCCAACATTTTGATACCCTCTATCTTGTAATATGGCGTTTGTGCGTAATTTTTTGGACTATTTAATTTAAAACCGCCCATTTAATGTGTACACAGAAAAAAAAGTTTATTTTTCCCAAATAAAAAGAATAATTAAATATGGGACAGAAGCATTGTTTATTTATCCTAAATATATTTTGATTCCTGACACATAAAGTTTTAGGTACTAAAGTATATTTATCGTTATTATTTTCACTATTTAGAGGTAATAAACAATATATTCAATATTAATAAAAAGTATTAGCTACACAGTTTATTTGTCGCATTTTTTCTCAGTGTAGGTAAACATATACAAATATTTATTTAAATATAATTGATAACGGCAACATTTATGGTATGTTTTTTAATTTATGTTTAATATGTTTTTAAATAAGTTGATAAAATAGTATTTTAAAACACCAATAATTTTTTGAATTTTTAATTTAATAAACAATATTAAATTCTATATTATAATTTATAAAATTGTATTTTTAAAATAATTTGGGTTTCACGTAAAAATGAGAAATAGAAAGTTTTTTTGTAATTTTTTAAACTTTACATTATACATTTTATATATTATACAAATTAGAAAAATCCTTTCTTAAAATTACATATTATTTTTATTATTTTAATATAAAATTATTTAATGTTGTTTAAAAAAACAATTTTGTGGGGAATTTTACGCATACAAGTATACCTCCGAGTATACCTCCGATATCCAAGCATTGACCCCACGTACCCGTGTAAAGTACTTTATAAAAAAAATGTAGTAAATTTTATGCTCTTTCACATCAAATCAAATTTAAACAATTATTGTAAATTTTTATTTTCGATTAAAAATGGGGTTAGAAAATTAAAATGATTTTTTAAACATTTGTCAAATAAAAAAAAATAAAAAAGCTTAAAAAATTACTTTTTTTAGTATTTGGTCCCTAAAATAGCTATTTCACGGACTTCCGTAAAGTGGTCCTTTTATTTAGGTAAATAAAGCAAAATGGTTCAACTTTCTTCATACTTTTTTCTCCTCAATTGATATTCTATATATGACTCTGACACTGCACCTCCGACTTTTAGTAAATAAAAATCGTGTATTGTGTATCTATTTCAAAAGATTTGTTATTAATATATTTTTCGTCTTTAATTTTTATTTCAAAAGATTTGTTATTAATATATTTTTCGTCATTAATTTTTATGGGGTGTAAAAAATTTGGGTACACATTTTAAATGTTCTTTTACTTTAGCGTGTTTAAAAAATAAAATGGAAATGGAACATAGATTAATCTGTGCAAATTATACCCATAAAATTTTATAATTTTGGTTAATAATAAACTCGCAAGCTTCAGCCGTTACACCAGAAAATTAAGGGAAGGCCTGATTTACATTTTTAGGGGCCCTTAGCACAAGTCAGAGGTGGAGCCCTTTATTTGAGAATAATTTAACCTAACTAAACAAGCCTGTGCCAATACCACATAATAGAGGATTCTGTCAATACTATTGAATTTTATTGCCAACCTCAGTTACACTTCGCTTTTGAAGATGCCAACATCGTTGGCAAAAAGTACTATAAGCACTTAGTGTTTTGTTTTGGTGTTGGGAAATATTTCTAATATTTGTTTAACATATCACCAAATTTGTCATTTTTTAAGTATTAAGTATTGCCAATGATTAAGTATAAAAAATGTTTTGCTCATTAATTCCTAAGAAACCGTAATTCAAATTTATTTTGTAAAATAATGTTATTTTTCTTTAATTTAAAAAAAAGCGTTATAAAATTTTAAATGCATACAACTAAAAAATAGCCAGGAATAGGACGGAAGAGTTAACAACTGTGTAAATGAAGAAACTTAATAAGGGACATAAGCATTACAATATATAAAAATATTAAATTTATTATAAAAAATATTTTATTAAATATAATTATAAAATATTTCAAATTTTATGGTAAAAATTATCATGGGTTTGTTAATTTTGTGGTTTTTAAGCCAAATGCGATTAAAAACTTTTAAAAAGTACTTGTACTCTTTCAACAACTGCATTTATATGTTAATTAATTGTTTATTTACCTAAAAGTTATAAAATTGGACTTTTGTATCGGTACCAAGTAAGGTAAAGGAATATGGAAATATTACCCACCCAGTCTACCTATTTATAAATACTGAATTAATATTGACCTTTACGACCTTGCCCTTTATCTACTTTTTTTGGGCTAAACCAAGTTCAATAAACATAAAAATATGCGACAATATCTTTACCTATCTCTTAATGTATCTGTATATATATATATATATATATATATATATATATATATATATATAAATATATGTATTAGTTGAACATTTTAATTCAATTAGGTATATTTTTTTATTGATATATAGACTGTGACATGCCAGTCTGGAAATATAATGATACAATCATTCTATTTGTAATAATTATTAATAATAAAAAAAATTTACAACCTTGATATTAAAAAATTAATTAGGTACCTATAGGTATAAACTCTGGCATGTTATGAGGTTCTCAGATACCTAAGTTAATGACATAATTATGATAATAATTATTATAAATAGTCAATATTGTGTATATAGTGTTTTCGTGGTTTAAAAACACATTTTAAAAAAACGATTTTTTTTTGTTTTAGTATTGCTCGTATATTTTTCTGAAGGCATTAATCAACTGGCGTCAACAAATTGGAAAATTTTTTCGAGACAACAATACTTTGACAGTAATGGCCTTTTTATATCGGTGGTTTTTTCGATGCCCATCCTATTGAACTGTATATTAATGGTGGTAAGATTAATAAAGTATTGATTTTTTCATTTAAACTAAATAAATATCTATTTTAGGGGTCATGGCTTTATCAATCCACCCAGCTGATGACAAACTTGAAGATAGCTCAGTTACAAGAAAAGCTAAAAAAAGAACAGCAAGAAAAAATAATAAAATCAAAGAGCGAGTAACTGTTATCACTTTATTTATATAAGAATAATTTATGTACCGATTTTTTTGACAAAATTGACTATGATGCATTTTAAAAATAATATCACGTGCATTTATCGGTTACCAATAAAAATTTTACTACAATGTATAACGATAACACTCTTTCCTAGTCAATTTTCTTACAAATCTTGAAATTTTTATGATAGGTATTATTTTTAAATAAATCTATGTAGATTAGTACCCAACTGTTATTCTATTTAAAAAATTAGAACATCTTAAATATTAGCCTAAATTTGATTAAATAATTTTTAGTCTGACTGCTTTAAAGCCTACATAATTTTTTAACTTTTATGAAAAAGCCTTTGAACTAAAATTGTTATGTTTTTAATTGTTTTTGTACAACATTATATCAAATTCGCTAGGTAGATAGATTTGACGGTATTTCAACGTAACCGGTTATAACCATTTTGTAGATTTGTATAATAAAGTAACTATTTTTTGTATATTAGAAATGCCATTAAGACTGATGAATATAGATGCTTTTTAAGAAAAGGATATTTTTGTTTTTAATAAAAACCACTATTATATGAAACGATATTTATTAGGCAATTATACAAAAGTACAAAAAATATGAAAAAATACTCAATTAAATAATCTATGTATCATTAGCAAAACCCTTCATAAAAGATAAAATGTTACCCATTAAACTAAGATCTTTCTGTACGTTTTTATCATGATTTTGCAAAACATTAATGGCTCCATTTTCTACCAACTTTTCAGTTTTCATTAGCGAATCTCCAACTTCAGCTTTTAATTCATTCTGCACGTGGTTTAACTCTTTTTCAAGCTTCGCGACTTTGTAGGGTTTGACTTTCAGTTTGTCGTCGTATTTTTCGCTGAACTTACTGACATCGTTTGGAACGCTCAACTTGTCTTTTTGTGTGTCAAAGACCGAAAAATCTGCCATTCTTTTAACGATTGTAGTTGATTCTGGAGGAATTTCAGTCGGGTTTTTCTTTTCTTCAGTTTTGGTAACTTTTTGAGTAACTATTGGAATATACTTTTCTGTAGTTGCTATCAACACGTCCTGACTTGGTAGTCCTGTAGATGTTTCTACGATTTTTTCTGTAGAGGGCGGTACAGCATCAATATTTTCTTTTTTTTGATCATGTTTTTTTACTTCTTCCATAATTTTCCTAAGTGGTAGCCTAAATTTGATTAAATAATTTTTAGTCTGACTGCTTTAAAGCCTACATAATTTTTTAACTTTTATGAAAAAGCCTTTGAACTAAAATTGTTATGTTTTTAATTGTTTTTGTACAACATTATATCAAATTCGCTAGGTAGATAGATTTGACGGTATTTCAACGTAACCGGTTATAACCATTTTGTAGATTTGTATAATAAAGTAACTATTTTTTGTATATTAGAAATGCCATTAAGACTGATGAATATAGATGCTTTTTAAGAAAAGGATATTTTTGTTTTTAATAAAAACCACTATTATATGAAACGATATTTATTAGGCAATTATACAAAAGTACAAAAAATATGAAAAAATACTCAATTAAATAATCTATGTATCATTAGCAAAACCCTTCATAAAAGATAAAATGTTACCCATTAAACTAAGATCTTTCTGTACGTTTTTATCATGATTTTGCAAAACATTAATGGCTCCATTTTCTACCAACTTTTCAGTTTTCATTAGCGAATCTCCAACTTCAGCTTTTAATTCATTCTGCACGTGGTTTAACTCTTTTTCAAGCTTCGCGACTTTGTAGGGTTTGACTTTCAGTTTGTCGTCGTATTTTTCGCTGAACTTACTGACATCGTTTGGAACGCTCAACTTGTCTTTTTGTGTGTCAAAGACCGAAAAATCTGCCATTCTTTTAACGATTGTAGTTGATTCTGGAGGAATTTCAGTCGGGTTTTTCTTTTCTTCAGTTTTGGTAACTTTTTGAGTAACTATTGGAATATACTTTTCTGTAGTTGCTATCAACACGTCCTGACTTGGTAGTCCTGTAGATGTTTCTACGATTTTTTCTGTAGAGGGCGGTACAGCATCAATATTTTCTTTTTTTTGATCATGTTTTTTTACTTCTTCCATAATTTTCCTAAGTGGTAGTGGCTCAATGATAATTTTTTTATTTTTTAATTTAGCGGCATCGGTAGTTTCAGCTTCTAGAAGAATATTTAAAAGATTTTTTTCGTCCTTGTTAAAACCTGACTTTTGTTCTTCGGAACTTGTTTGTTTCATTAAATCTTCCCATGAGACTTGCTCTATTTTGGGTCCGTTTGGTTTAACAGGTGTTACATAATCATTGGTATTGTCTTCATATGGTACTTTACCTATTTGGTTTTTAGGATTGTCAGTGACTACATCTCCGGCTTTTTCAATGTCTTTAAATATCGGGACGGTTACATTTTCCTTTGGAAGCATAACGATTCTTTGCTCGACCTCAAAGCCAGCGTTCTCTAATTCCTTTATTAACTTATCTGTACTTCTAGCTACTTTAGCTGATATACCATGGTGTGAAGTGGTGTCCAATTCGTCTTTTAATTCAGCTTCTTTTTCAAGAATTGTTCCTAAAACAGCTGCGATGTCACGTTTTTTAGGGCATGTAACGTTACCACACGAACACAACTTATCCATATCAACAGAAAGATGGACAGATCCCTCATCTCCAGGCATCATTTTTAATGGTAACTTTACACCGTCTCCTACAAAGTAAACTTCGGAATCTGCTTTCTTATCGCCTTCAGGATTTGCACTTCCCAATGTGCTATCTTCGAAGTTGTTTCTCTGGTTTATTTCCGGAACTTCTTCCTGAGGTTGTATGACTGGCGGGGATGATACAAAGCTTGTTTTTTCGGCGGGAACACTACCTGGAGTCGAGGGTTTAATTTGATTCATGGATTTAGGTTTGGTAAGGTCAGGTAAAGTCGATATTTTTTCCTTAATACTCTTCAATATATTCTGACGACTTTCCTCGTGCTTCTTCATTAAATCAGCTTGTTTCTGCATGTTTTCCTCATGAGTTTTCTTCAAAATCTCAGCTTGTTTCTGAATGGCTTCATCGGTGTTTTTCTTTATCATTTGAAGGATATCTGAACCACTTGTTTCACTTGTAGTGGTTGGTTTTTCTGCAGAAGAGACTGCTTTAGAAAATATTGGTTTCTTTAGCTCAATAGCAGGTTTAGCACTCTTAAGTTTGGTTTTTAAATTTTCGAATAAATCAGGTTTCTTTCCAGATTCAATGGCGTTTTTGTCACTGGTTTCGCTCATTCTTGCGCCCAGAATTGGTTGGTTCTTTGCCTCATTTGTTTTTCCCAAAACTGGTTTAATAATGGACCCCAATAAACCTGGTTTTTGCATTGTTCCTAAACTAGGTTTTGCAAATCTAGAACCCAGTAAAGATAGTGGTTTCTGTTGGGCGGCACCAACAATAGTTTCAGGTTTTACAAAAGTGGGTTGAGCGATTTTATTGCTAGCTAATCTGGAAGCCAAAGTAGGTTTTTGAGCTAAATTGGCAGCATCAGATAATGTTTTAGATGGAGACATAAGCTGACCCAAGTTATTTTCATCTACGGAGTGCAAGGCTTTTTGAGCGGTGTCAATAACAGCTTGAGGGAATTTTTTCAACTCTTGCACGGCTATTTTAACACGATTTGGTTCTTCCATTGCTGTAGGTACATTTGGTACTTCAGGTTGAGCTTCGATTGGTGCTTCACCTACGCGATTGTCCATTTCTGGGGCAGCTCCTACTTCCTCGTTGTTTGGGGATTTTAAGGTATCTTCTATGAGGCTTAATTTTCTCTTAGTTTCTTCTGATTCCCTGTTGCTTTCGATTTCACTTACCATTTTTTGGATTCTTTCCAAAAGGGATTTTGCTGTTTCCAAGTCCTGATTGTTCTGGGCGCTTGATACCTGATCCTTTAGATTTTGTAAAGCTTAAACAAAAAAATATGAACATTAGGTATTAAGTTCAAAATGATAAAATTTACCTTGTTCAGGGTTATTTATGTTAAAATTATTCCTTTCTATAGTTCGTGGACCCCCAACATCTTGGTCATTATCGTTATCATCATAATCTAAGGTTGCTTGGGGTTGTACAATTGGGCCGTCAACGAACTGTGGAGTTTCAGTTTTTTGAAATTTGTTGAGTTTGAGATTTGGCATTCTTGAACTAAGTCTTTCTTTGATGGTTTCTACGAGCGATTTTTTGGGTTTAGCTTCAGGTTCTGGTTCGATATTTTCTAATTCTTCTGGCTCTTCGGCTCCTAAACGAGATTCCATCATTGGTGATTGTTGTTGGGTTTGCTGTTGTTGTTCGGCTCTCATCTAAAAATATTTAATGTAATTGTAATTTAAGGGTACGTATATGGTTAAAAACCTTGTCTAAGAATTCTTCAACAACGTTATCAATTTCATTCGGGTTTAATTTCTTCTTGGCTTCTGCAGCATCATCCAAAGCCTTGTTCATAGCATCAATCAATCTATTTTCTTCATCTCCGATATTTTCGGTGGTGACGAGTATTGGTGGGATTTTTGTTTTGCTCTTGGCAAGAAGCAAAACTTTTTCAATATCATCTTTTTCCTTGATTCCCAAAAGTCTACAAATCAAATCCAAATGTTTTCCTGGTTTGATGGCGGCTAAAGTGTGAAGATATCTTGGTTCTGATTCATTATCGTTGTCATTGTCATCACCGCCAAATCGTGAACCGAGCATGGGAGCTCCCATTGTAACCATTGGACTAATTTCTCTTTTTCTTAGTTGAGAGGAAGAAAGGTCCCTGCAATAAAATAGGTAGAAAGTAGTATAGATAAGAATACTAAGTTTTAAATTTAGAATTTTAAATAACTATAACTACCAATGTTTTAATTTCTTTTATATAAAATGTCATTTTAGTTCAGTAATTTTAATAAACTGTGCTTGACGACAAACTGTATATGCTAAGAATTCACTCATAAATCAACCATTTTCATAGTAAGTTTTAAACACCCAATAATAAATGTATTCAAATTGTTAACTTTTATATATTTTTAGTTTAAACAACTCCCAAGGTAGGTGTTTCCAAGAGTACCCGTAGACATGATTATTCTCAAACTTATAAGGATTTTCAACAGCCTTCGCATGGAAAAACTTTTAACTTAAATAAATAAGTTTTGTGTGGACAATAAAAGTTTGGCAATATTCCTTAAAATATATTTTTGTTCTTTAATAAGCCACATTTATATATTTTAAGGTCCTAATATACTATTATAGTATATTATGTATCAAGTTTGATAAACACATTTTATCCAGGAATTTAATTAAGGCACAATCGAGCTTGCGAGCGAGTACTTAATTAAATTCGTGCCTAGAAAAGTTTATAAACGAGTTTTTTCTACGACAAATACTTAATATTATCTAAAAAATGATTTAAATTAAATATTTGTATAAAGTGACATCTATACGGAAATAAAGTAGCCGCCCCAATAAATATTTTTGATGTAATTTTCACCATTAACATTGCCCGTTATTATTTTAATTAAACTCAACAATTATTGAAATATTAAAATAACTTCAAAATATGATTATGTTAAAAAAATATTTTATCCTTTAATTTTTTTATTACAGTAATTGCAAAATATTATAACAAGTATTAAAAATTCTTACACGGGAAATGTTAAGAGTACGAAAAGTGGAAGTTGTATTTATTAGCAATCTTCCGGCGTTAAAATGTCAAATTTTTCTGTTTATCAAAATTTACCCCTTAAAATACTAACAATCGATATAGAAGCAGTTTTTACAGTAAAAAAAAGGAGAATGTTTTATGGGCACTGTACGCAAAATTTTTAACGCTTTATCAGTAAAAACTAGTTAACTGTACTACTAAGGCTAAATCAAAAGGTTAGTAAAAACGTTCATTTAATCATTTTTAAATATTGGCGTCAAAAAACTATTTATACTTTTGTATTTTTGTATTGAGATAATAAAATAATTTTTACATTTAGTATTATTTTAACGATTGTATGACATTTGACGACTGTCAACTAAATTAAAGCTACGAAAATGGGCGTAAAACAAATAATATAAAGTGGACAAAATACAGTTTGCTCTGGGGATACTGATATTGGTTTTAAGGTCCAATATAAGTAGAGAATATAAAAGATGACAATGTCTGGAGGCAAAAAATTCAAGTCAATTATTAGTTTTTTATATTTATATATATAAAGATTATAATCTTTAACCACTTTGATATATTGGTATATTATTATACGAAAGATAATGCAGGCTATTATTCACGAGGATGAGGTTGGCATCTCGAGTTGACAGACGAGAGGCTTAAATCATCCGAGTGAATAATGCGCATAATTTTTAGAGGAATACCATACTTTATTTACTCCAATAAGTATAAAATTAAATGATTTTTAAACATAAATATGTAAAATCGGACATCTGTCAAATGATTAACATCACTTTTTACCAATTTTAAATGTTATTATAGTCACCTTCTTCTAATTTAAAACCCGATTGGTTTAAACGTGAATAATGAGTTTATTATTCCCGTTGTTGGGACTTTATAAATTTTATCTATTTTTCAATAAAAAAAAAAACAATGGGAGTAGATATAATAATAATATAAATAAGTTACTTGCTTAATATGTATAATAAAATATATTTTTTTATTTTTACAATTTTCCAGCTTCTCGTATTGCTGCATTGATTTCTGTCTATTCACCTCTAATAAGGAGTCCTACAAAGCTTTGCAATCCTTATACAGTGAATAATTAATAATCCAATCTATACTAAGGATGCTCGTCGAGGTTTCTGTACAAGGCAAAGCGATTGTACTGACTAACCAATAAAATTAAATTACACTATGCGATAATTTTACCAATTACTGTTTTATTGAACGGGATTTCTAAATAATCAATATTTTTGGAAGTTTTATTTTTTTATATTTTATTTTTTTTATTATTAAAGTAAATCAAAGTACCTAGCCTACTAATTTTTAATAATTTTAAAATAGATACTCTTCGACCTTTAAAAACGTTTGATTTTTCATTTAATAACTATTATTCTTAAAATTAAATAGTTCATAAAAATAATATTTAAAATTCTTTATTTTTTATATAATTTCTTTAAGATTTTATGTTTTTAATACAATCCAAGTATTCGATATACGATATATAAAGGGTGTCTCAAAAGTAACGCAAGATTTGAATTAAATAGAAAAAACAGTTTTTAGACATTATAAAGTCTATAGATTGTTATTTTTTTATTGAATCACAAAGTCCATAGGATATGGTTATTTATGGAATAACACATTGGGCAAATGGCCTCCACCGCTTTGCTGGCACATGCGCACTTTTGACTGCTTGACTAGCCTCATTTTGAAAAAGTATTGTCCAATGATGCCTCCAGCCCAAAATCCGCCCCAAACAGTGACTCGTTGTGGAAGCATTTGTTTTTCGACAATCACATCTGGATCTCCGAACCCCAAACACGGCAATTTTGGCAATTAACAAAGCCATCAAGGTAAAATTGAAATTCAACCACATTTATGCAGAATGGTAATGGGAAATTTCGAAAAAAGAGTGCGCATGTGCCAGCAAAGCCGTGGAGGCCTTTTGCCCGATGTGTTAATAAAACTATCCTATGTACCTACTTTGTGATTCAATAAAAAAATCATAATCTAAAGACTAAAAACTGTGTTTTCTACTTAATTCAAATCTTGCGTTACTTTTGAGACACTATAGTGTCTCCTGAAAAATGTGTATAAGGTGTTGTCAGAACAAGCGACGATATTTTATAAATGTATCAAAATTTGTGAAATATTTATAAAAAAAAGGTCAATTTCTGTAATATGGGGGCTACAACTAGCAGTTTCAAAACAAAGCATTTTTTTGTGTCTCCTGAAAAACGAGAGAACTAAAGCGACGATATATAATTATTATTATTATTATTATTAAGTAAATATAAAAATCTTTTTCTAAATTTGTCGTACCCAGTGCTTTGTGCCTCCAATCCTACGCTGACTGTCTCAGTGTCGCTCAAGTCCAGTACATCGTGCATTTCACTATCAGGGATTCCGTCTGGTTTACCGACATCGCCAGCAGGATCAACTTCCTGTCGTTCTGCTTTCCTGCTTTGATCCAACGCTTCCTCTGGGCTAAAACGGAAATTTGCACGAATTAAGTTGAACGATCTTTTTACCCACCAGACTCTCTAATTCGATGCCATAAATTTCCAAGGGTCAACAGACATAAATATTTAGCAGCGGGAATGGAAAGGATTTTAAATAAGTTTTAAAATTATCTATGCGCCAAAACTGCCAACCCTGTCCTAGCCTACTGAATTTATTTAGGTGGTAAGGTTTTAGCTGGTAAAAAATATCTCTTTATTTATTTATTTAAGATAAAAATGAATTAGTTTTACAAATTACAAAAACAGGCTAAAAAATATTAAAAATCACAAGAAGTAAATCAACCAAAAAAGTTAATGTTTAAAGCTTTTTATGGGGCGCCGTTTTATTTAAGAATGAATTTTATGTGTTAACCCTAGAGTGATATTTTTAATTATATAAAAAATATCACATGAAAACTTGTATTCTGCGAATTAATAATATCATAGCAGATATTTTAAAATTAGATTTATTTTTATGCCAAACTGATATTTTTAATTTAGTGAATTTAAGATATCTGTTTCTTATACATGTATTTGTACTTTTTGTTAACACACATTTTTAATTTGCTTGATTTAAAATTTATTTATTATTATTATTTAATAAATTTAATCAAAATTAATTACAAATATCTCCTATAAAATTTCTAATGCATTTAAAAATTTCTCCTATGATATTTTTAATTTAGCGAATTAAAAATATGTGTTTACCTAAAAAAAAAAAAATAGGAAAATCCCCTAAATTAAAAATAAAATTTAATTTAATTTAATATCACTTTTGTGTGAACACAAGAATAATTCCTAAATAAAAAATAAAACGGCGCCCCAAACATTTTCTTCTACTGTGACAATTTTTTAATGCTTACGAATGTGTATTTTGTTAAAATAGAGCATTTCACTACAAATAATTAATTTAAATTGAAAATCATGGAAAACAATTTTATCTTAATACAAGCGCAAAGTGCCGAGGGAAATAAGAACGAAATGAGTATTGTAATATAATTCATAGCTATGTGTTGTAGTATATTGGGCATTTCAGGCCAACTTTACATGCGTTTGACCCTAACTACTGCATAATAAATCCATATTTTTTATATGGTAGCCTATCTTAAAAGGCCCCAATCCAATTGTCTCCTCCGACAAACAAACTGAAACTAAAGTATAGAAACAAAACTAGAACTAAACTAGAAATGAAACCTGCATAATATAAGAAACGTGAAAGAAACTATACCTGTAGAAATAAAATTAGATATAAAACTTTAAGGTATGGAATGGTAAGGATACTTTATATAAGAATGGACACGAAACTTTGAGAAAAATAAAGTTATACGTTAAAGAAGCATCGGGTTTTCGCAAGGCGCGCGGGCCATCTGGTGGCCCTCGATAGCATTAATGAAATACAAGGATTGTCAACAATTCAAAATAAATGAACTCTCTAAAAATGAAATAGTCAAAATTCTACTATTTGAATTAGTACCAGCATTTTTTACTAATAAAATAGTCGTTTTCACTTTTAAATAGTAATTTTTTACTACGTAAATAGTTAAAGTTTGACTAATTTTGAGACTTTAAAGTAACTAATTTCGTTAATCGTTTGCGGCCAACAACAAAGTATTATTTGAATTAAATGCATATACCTAAGCTCCATGGTTAAATGGCCCATAAAAACAAATAAAGATGCAAAAGTTTAGCTCAAAACAGCAACACAAATAAAATATTCAACTTTAAAATATTATGAACAATATTTAGTGACAAATAAAATTGATTTTTATAAGAGCGTCTGATAGCCGAATGGGTTATGACACCAGCTTGACAAGTAACAGACCTGAGTTCAATCCCCGGCAGGGTCAAAACATTTTTTAAATTTAAATCTACTAATTTGACTATTTCATTCAGTGAATTATTAGTGACTGCTTTATCGCTATGACAATTAGTCAAATATGATTAGTTATTTTTGACTAATTCATTTTAAGAGAGAACTGCACATTATTTTTAAATAAATCAATACTAAAATGTGTATTCATTGTATCTAATAGATACAATTTATATTTACAGGGACTGTATGCAATTTATTTCTTCATTCGGATTTTTACTTTTTATTAAGAAACCGGTAAAAACTCAACCCAGGATTTCCTTTCGAAAAACACCCAACAACACAACAAATCGTTCCACGATTTTTTCTCAATATTTTTAACATTTTCATCAAAAACGCTCGTTTCTAACATACGCGTTTGACAGCTGATTATTAAAAGTTGTAGTTTTGTTACGATGCTTCTTTAGCGTATGGGGCAAGGTTCATTATTTGTAAGTAATCATAATTTAAAAAAAAATCCAAAATGAAAAACCAATACAGAAGAAAAAAATTGCGCTTAGATTACAGAAGAATTCACATTTGATATTATATTTTTTTAATTGTACAGAAATCCTATAATCCTATAATCCTATATACAGGGAGCGATAAAAGTTCCTAGAATGTTTTTTTAAACGCGTTAAAAATATATCAACAAGTTTTTCGCGGAATCTGCTTAAGAGAATTCTTTATTTCTGAAAATATTTATTTTATGTTGTTTTATTTGAAATAAATCGCCAAAACAAGCGTATTACAGTAATTGGAATGCATCAGCTGGTCGCTGATTCTTTTTATGGACGAGAAGATTTTTATGGTTGAACCATATCACAATCGCCAAAATTCTCGTCATATTTTCAGGAAAGGACGACCGCAGCAAAAACTATCTTGCAGCCATTTTCCAGCTCCTGTGATTAAAATCTCTGCAACTGGCAAACTCCACTGGTTTTTATCGACAATGTAAAAATCAATGCCATTACCTACCAACAGTAGGTTGAAATGTTTTAGAGCCTTGCGCCTTGGAATACTTTGGCCAAGACGGTTTTACTCTTCAACAAGACGGAGTACATTTAGCCCAATCAACGCTGAGGATCTGTGAAGAGTTGTTTCCTGGGTTTTGGGGCAAAGATTTTTGGCCCTCAAACTCGCCTTATTTGACCCTATGGACTATTCTGTGTGGTAAATCTTGGAAAAAAAAATTTCAAGAACGTCTTTGCAAATGGAGCAAATTTTGAAAATCTGATATCAATTTTTAAATGAATATTGCTTAAGCAATGTTAATTTATTTTTCAAACGGAATAGACCATCGACGTGATTTTTTTTGTGATATAAGGAATATAATAATGGTAACTGTGCAAATTTTCATGACATTGGTTGAAATATGAAAATATAGGTTGTGCCTCCATAATTTACACAAGTATCAATCATTACTGTTTTCATTTTTAATGATTATAAAGGTATAACAAAATATCATAAAACCCTTAATAGTATATTATGTATCAAATTTGATAAACGCCATATTATACACGAATTTAATTTAATTAAATTAATGAGTTTATAGAAAAGTTTATAAACGAGGTGCATACTATACTTTTTCTACGACAAATACTTTTTATTATCTTAAAATGATTTAAATCAAAAATTTGTATAGAGCGCCATCTATGAAACAATAGGGGAATCTGTGTGTCACCGTCAAATGTCAAATTTTTTTATTTTATAAAGGTTATAAATCGAAATGTATTTCTTGAAAATTTATAGTTTTTCACAGTGAAGATAAAGAAAATGTTTTATGAGCACTTTACAGTGGAGTCCGTGCCCGAATTTAAGTTATAGTTTACTGCCGGCGAAATTTAAAGGTCAGTACAATGTTCATATAAACTTTTCAAATATTGGCGTTGAGAAACTATTTAATACTTTTGTATTTTTGTATTGATATAATAAAATAATTTTCACATTAAGTATTATTTAACAAGAAAGGCACTTTATTTTAACGATTGTATGACATTTGACACCTGTCAACTAGCTTAAAACTAACTTCAGCCCATGACTAAAAACCTGTTACTAACTTCAGCCCGTAAATAAAGCGCCATAAAGCCAAAACTTGTGAATGTGTATTTAAAAGGTCACTTAGTGCCATGGAAACATGTAAGATAAAGGGCGTTTTAAGGTGGGTCTATAATTTAAACTTTATTGTTGTCAACATTCGATAAAGAAATAACTTGTTATGGCCTAGGCCGATAAAAAATTTTATGAGGCAAGTAATTAGTTCGATTTTTTTCTCGCTAGGGGTATTGTTTTGACAAATTAATCCTTTTCTAAGAAATTAACGTACTAAACTGGTTTAATTTATTTATAATAAGCACTAATTTGTTTGTTTTACTGTTAATGTTTATTATTTTTCATTAAATTATTGTAAAATTAAATAGGTATGAATAATAAAACAAAAAGTGAGGACATTGCAATTTGACGTTTCTGTGGATTTCACAGTTGTGTTTTCTTTTTCTACGATTTAAATTATCTTTAAGTTTTAATTTGCTTTAAGTTTTCAGTGAAATTAAATGTTAAACACAGCGTAAACATTCCAAACTACCTATTTTTTTAATAAAAATGCAAACAAATTGAAATTAGATACCTATTTATTAAACAATTAATTGAATTCAATGTAATAGCAAGAGGGTAAGTAAACCATTTTCTTACAAAAATCCATTTCTACTTAAATCATGTAGCTTGGTATTGTCAAACTATTACTGCTTCTAAAAGGAATAATAATTATTGTACATTTAATGTAATCTTTAGCTAATAAATAAATAATTAAATGAGGTTAGGCCGCTTTCATGTTGAATTAAATTGACCTATATAAAGTGCTTTGAAGATAAAATGTTGTATGCCATTCGGCCAAGAAGTGTCTTTTTGCGCTTCGCTCAATTGTAGGCCTCCGCTACGCGTCGGCCTTCAAACTTTGAGCTTAGCACAAAAAGCCTTACTTCTTAACCTAATGACATAAATAACTATTATATGATATCCTTAAATTGTAATAATAACATTTCACAATTATAGAACGAAATAAAAATGCAATTTTAAAATAAAGGGATGCAAAATGATTTTACTTTATTAAAAAAAAACAATAAAAAAGAGTTCATCCAATAAGCAAAAGGAAAATTATTCCCTTAAATCATTTCTAAATATATTCTTTTCTCTATTTCAATTTCAATTATTAAATTTTCCATTTTCATTTTAAATTAATGAAACAAATTGATATTGCAATTTGCAATACGGTTCTTTTAAGAGCCCTTGGCATTGTTTCCACGTAAAATTATTATAATTTAATAAAAAAAGTAAATCATGGATTTTTAATTTAGGGATTTTTACGATGTTACATATTTATACTTGTTTTTTGTAGTTAGTAGTATAAGATTAATTAAATCGTCTCAAAAATTGTTATGTTAGACACCAAAATTGTTTTTTTGTAAAGTTATTCAAAAATGTAATTTTCATTAAATCTAAAATTAAAACTTTATACTAAGTAAAATCATATTAAGATGCACGTGGAGCAAAGATTAATATTTGGAACAAAGTATCTTTTAGATAAAACAACAGACGTTTTATGGGCCTTGGATACGTTCAGTTAAAACTGCACTCTTAAGTTTAGTCGTAAAAATGAAAGCTTGTGGGTTTGAAAACATTTTATGTTAAATGAAAGAAACTAAACTAAATGTGAAATATTTTTTAATAAAACCTCACGGATTACTTTGACAACAGCAATAGTTACTTTTAAGTATATACAGGGTGTCCCAGAATTCGCCCCAAAGAGAAAAAAGGGGCGTGCTGATAGCAATTTAGATTTCAAATTTAAAAATAATTCTTTTTTTGGTAATAGTGTAATCGAATAAGAGCAAAAAAGCGACAGCTAATACCAAGAGCTAGGTTAATTTAAATGGGAAATCTTTTAATTCGATGATGGACCTCTTATAATTGGAATTAAGGGCTGGGATTTGGACAGAAAATAGTCGATTTTTTTTGACAAACCTAATATAGGTCCAGGATTAACCTGAAAATGTTTAATGCCCAATAAAGCATAAAAAACAATAGGATCAAACCAAAAAAAAAAACATTTGTCAAAAATGCATATTAACGAAGATATAGTCCTTCAAAGTTAGTAAAAACTTTTTTATAACTTCTAATCCATCAGACCAATTCTGCTAAAATTTTGTGTAGGTAAATCTTTAGCGCTGTCAAATGTGTTTGCATGGGGAATGCATGCATAGCTACCTATCCCTCTTAATATGCATTTTTAATGAATAGTTTTTGAGTTTGTACTTATTATCTTTTGATCATTAATTTTTTTTAGAGTAATCCACGTACTGGGTAATTAATGGCAAATTATTTTTGTTTTAAGAGTATCTATAATAATTTTTATATTATAACATTTTTTAGTCTATATATAAAATATCAGTTGATCCTAACCTAAAAATGATGTTCCGAAATCTCAAAGAAATATTTAAATTAAATGCTTAGAAAAAATAGTATTGGCGGAAAAAGCTTATAATTGACTCGCACACAAGCTACAGCATCGGCTGTGAAATCTATGCTCGGTTATAATATGTGCTTTCTCCGCCTGGTTTATAATGTACTATAAGGGCATATTATTTATAAAAACTATTCAAATACAGGGTGGTAAAGTTAATTATATATTTTTTAAATTTTGTCCAAAAAATTTACCTAAATAGCTAAATATTATTAGTAAATTTTAGCAAAATTTTGGATGTAAGGGTTTTTTGAAATGTCAAATTTATAAATACTTATAAGTATGTAGGTAACTCATTTGAACTTATCTTGTAAAGTGCACCATTTTTTTAAAACTACGTACATTTGTTATATTTGGTTTAATTTATTTATTTTATTTAAAAAAATTAATCCCAATTTTAGTTTAAAAAATTTATACTTTATAAATATCGCTCGATTCACCTATTCAGTTAGAATATTTATTAAGTAGGCCTGTTCTGCCGAGATAAATAATAAAGTTTGCTGTTACTGGCAAATAATGACAGTGACAGTGATGTTTGTGATTTATCTAGATAGACAAAGCCTACTTGAAAGCGCATTGAAAATTTCCATTGGATATATCTTGTAGCTATATTTATAAAATATAAGTTTTCTGAGCAAATATTTTAAAGAAGCCATATTTTAAAGACAAAATTAATTTAACCAAGCATACAAATTTATCAACGTAGCTTAAAACAAATTTAAGTTATAAGTTCAAATGAGTTAAATATTTAAATTTGCCATATCAAAACAAACCCTTCATCCAAAATTTCGCTAAAAATGTCTAATAATTGCCTACATAACGACCAAAATTAAAAAAAACGAATCAAGTTTACCAACCTGTATCTTCGTTGCCGTTGACTTTTTTACCAAGAAAATTTTACTCAAACTCAATATTTTTTGTAAAGAATCTGCTGTTAAATTATTTACCATTACTTATGGGACACCCTGTATATATGTTTTTATGAAACACTTTAATCCAGGATTTTTAATAATGTAGCCAGAAATCCTAACTAATTAAAAAAAATGGAGTGGTGGCGCCCACTGGCATAATATTTGCCTTTTTGGTGGATGCGCCCAGGATTGTATTCAGGAAAATGTATTTTTGTTTAAAATTGCTACATTTTTATTAAAACTAAACTTTTTAATAAAAAAACTTACCTTTCTGATTTTCTGTTTCCCAGATCCAGTTCGTCATTTTGTGGCACCACAGCACATAAAGCGCAGGTTAAAAACAAAGACAAAACGAACAACTTCATTTTAATTTGCACGATGTTAGACTATCAGCATTTTTCACGTAACTAAATTTTTTAACACGGGTCTCGCAATTAAAAATGTTCAGAGTTTGCAATTATTTTGTTTTCCAATTGGGTTAGTGGATTGTTTTGTCAGCATTTTTTTAAATAGTTGTTAACTATGTATTAGCAAAATATTTTTTTAGTTCATTGCAAAATTTAAATTTGTCCTTTCCAAAATTAACTGAATATAAAACCAAAAATGTCATAATGCTTATTAAATATATAAACTAAAATCTACCGTTAATTGTATATATACATTTTATTTTATTAAAATTGCTAAGACTGATCTTCCTACTTTTACTATTCTTAATACAAATATTTCCTGATTAATATACATAGGTACCGGAAAATGGTTAAAATTTAAAATATGTGGCTTAGTTTATTTTCTGTATTTAAACAATAACCAATAACAACAGAAATGCATACCCACACAATAAAGGTTAATTAATTTTATTTCAATGGAAATTTTCAATATTTCTCGGTAAAATTATGCATGTTACGCCGATTTCAATGGGGTTATTACATAATCGAAATCTACGCATACGGGTTTGTTATATAAAAAGTGTTTTGTCCCACACTCACAGAGAATTGTGACATTATACGCTCAAAAATAATGTACAAAGTAAGCTATTTTTACACTAGTTAAACAATGATAATATTGTACCACTAGTGAAACAATGAAAAAAAGAAGAAGACAATAATTGTTATTATTGTTGAAAATTATTTTAAACATAAATTATAGTTGATACAAACTTACATACATATGATTTTTTTAAGCGTTTAAAAATGTTTATATAATAACACTAATAAGCATAAATAGAAAGACTTTATTATAGGACTCAGTTCAAAAGTCAAATTAGTATTCATCGCCGTACAATAATGAAAATGCATTGAAATTACATTAAAAGAGTGATTCCATTTATAGCATTTAGCTTTAAATCAGTGCAAATAACAGGTCACTATAGAATAAATTCATACCCATAACCTATAATTATAATAAATTACACTATGATAGTTCGAAATAGTAACATTGAGTACGCCCTCCTTTATTACCTAATTTTGGGCTGCTGATTTCAAAAATGTCACTCGTTTTGCTCCAGGACGTCTAGGATTCGAAATAATTGCGTAATAAAATGCTCTGCCCTAATTGGGCAAAATGTAAGTTTTTTGTTAATAAATTATTTTGCATTAAATCTGTTTTTAACGTTTTTGTCAAAAATATACAGGGACTCCTTACAGTCATCGGTAGATAAACGTTAAATAGATTTTTTTTTGTTTCATTGTTTATATACAAAAGTGCTCTTTTAGTTCCACCCTTACTTCCTAAGAAGTCCCAGAAGCCAACTGAATGGTTTGCGCGGGTTAGGGCCTAATGCCCCCCCCCCGAAGGACTATTACACAATAGGACAAACACAAATAAACAGCCATACCGGCGGCCATTTTTGTTGTTTACAATTCTTGTGCTTTGGGTTTGTGCTGTTTAATAATTGTTTTAAACGTTGTGTTTCTTACAGAGGCACTTGTAAGCCTCAAATAAGACCTTTAAGTGCTAAGGACAACCATTTTACTCCTCTTTTATAATAAATATACCTTATTCTATCAGGGCTGTCAAATGACAATTTAAAGGTTAATTTAAATTGTGTGTATAATTTAACTTTAAAATTGACATTTGACAGTTTTATGACAGCCCTGATAGAATAAAGTTTATTTTTTACAATAGAGGAGTAAAATGGTTGTTCTTAGCACTTTAAGGACTCCTTTAAGGCTTACTATGAGAAACACAACGTTTAAAACGATTATTAATCTGTATAAACAGAGCACAAACCCAAAGCACAAAAATTGTAAACAACAAAAATGGCCGCCGTTAAACTGTTCAGTGTTGCAGTGATTTTTTGTAATTTTAGTACGAGATAGAACAGACCTTGTTGTGTGGATTGTGCTTTAAGCTGCATGGTTGTGCCAATTTTCCCTTAAATATTGAAATTGTGAAAGGTTATACAGCGCCAAGCGGCTTGGTTAACGCTACTTTTGACTAAACGCAATATATTTATAATGCAACAAGGATCCATGCTACTTGGATCTGGTTTAAGTTGAAAAAATTGACCAATGGTTTTATATGACAAAATTAATATTTCCAAAAAAAATAAGAGAAGATCAGGAGGATCTCAGAGCTAAAATTAAAAGATTTAAAATATATTTATCACCTAATTCCAAATGATGGTTTTCATGTTATAATAAAAAATAGGCAATAACTATCAGTTTTATTTATTCTACAAGGGACCAACCAACAAATTTACTTATTTCATTGAAAATAATGAAAAAAATATTATAAGAAATAAAAATTTAGTAATAAATTAGCGATTTGGAAATAAAATTAAAACGTTGAATCTATAATTAAGACCACAGTAATGAAGGAACCACGTTTTGCAACAGTGAGGGTTGGTTCCCTGTTGTATAACACCATTCAAATGATAGGGCACTTTTAAATTTACTAATTTTTAATTATCACAGGTAAGTTATTATATAAAATTTGACCATTATAGAGTATTGTTTTATGAAGTACACAACTATTTGCTGTATCTGCATAAAAAATACTTGCTGTTCTCATGAACATTATAGACAAATTTAAATTTTTTATATAAATACAATGGTGTTATTTTGTTTTTTATATTATAAACCAAGTGAAGAGTACGGTATACAATTTTTTGGTTAAAATTCATAAAATTAAGGACTTCTAACATAATATTAATAGGAGTCTATCTATTGCATTGCAAAATTTATTATAAAATTGTTCTATTTTGTAAAACTTGAAATTGTTATATTTAAAAGAAATAATATAGATGAACAATAATCTAAGTGCGGCGCTATTTTGGATTTATACAACAAGATACTTGTAATACTTAAAATTATTTAATAACCGACCTTTTTCATAAAATTAATTTTTTTGGTCATTTTATTCATTATTAGCAAAACATGGTTTTTAAAATTATTATTATTGTTATCCATAATATTTTATATTGTGGAGTTTTAGAATTATCATTAATTTTATTATTAATTTCCATTAAATCCATACATAAATACTTAAAATTCTGTTAAGTTCGTAAGCATTGTCATAATTGTATAGGTAGTTGTTGGATTTAGAAAATAAATAAAAAGAAGCCACTGAATACATATCTGCTTAGCTCTTACTATTTAGGAGGATAATGGAGTATATTATACAGTGTCCTAGGTTTAAACAGCAGTGGATGTAAAAAGTTTTAATATAAATTATTAAATTTTATAAAATTAGAAGATAATAACATACCTACAATCTGGGTAAAATAGTTTGCTGCCGGCGAAATTAAAAGGTCAGTACAAAGTTTTTAAAGATTGGCGTCAAGAAACTTTTTAATAATTTTGTATTGAGATAAAGTAATAGAGTAATTGCATCAAAAATGAAAATCCCTAAAAACCTTTTTATTGTAATCTAGAGGTAAAAACACATTGCGAAAATATTTTTTTATATTCCAAAAGTTCAACCCGGCCCCAAAATATCAAATTGAAAAAAAGGTACTTTTCAAACGTTCCGAACTCCCGCCATATTGCATGACGTCATAAGCTTCACCAGCTGTCAGAAATCTCAAGATGTCAACAAATAATAAACACCGATAAGTTTATGTTTATACATGGAAAACGCGAAACCAAAAATTGGTTGTAAATATTGTTTTGTGCCTTGTTGTACAAATACAACCTGGAAAACTCCTGGGAAAGTTGTCCCTTCAATTATCAAAAGCAAAGTTTATGACCCTACACTGAGAGTAGTTACGGCTTAGCCGTATTTTCTTGAATTTATTAATATTTAACATACCTATTCAAACCATATACCTAGTAAACGACATTTTATTTTACTTACATTAAAATGATCCTTAAAATGAGCAATAAAATGGTGACGATGTTTTGATATCGCGCCGAGCTATTTTAATCCACTTTATCCTTATTTTCCCTTTTGGCACGGTGATAAACCTTTTCCCAGGAGTTTTCCAGGTTGTATTTGTACAAGGCACAAAACAATATTTACAACCAATTTTTGGTTTCACGTTTTCCATGTATAAACATAAACTTATCGGTGATTATTATTTGTTGACATCTTGATTTCTGACAGCTGGTGAAGCTTATGACGTCATGCAATATGGCGGGAGTTCGGAACGTTTGAAAAGTACCTTTTTTTCAATTTGATATTTTGGGGCCGGGTTGAACTTTTGGAATATAAAAAAATATTTTCGCAATGTGTTTTTACCTCTAGATTACAATAAAAAGGTTTTTAGGGATTTTAATTTTTGATGCAATTACTCTATTCCTACATTAAGAAGGGCATATTTATATGACATTTGACAACTGTCAAAGAACTTCAAGCTAACTTTAGCTTGTGACTAAAAAACTCAAATGCCACTGCTTGTCAATTTGTATTTAAAAACACACTTGTAGTGTCGTAAAGAAATGTACGATTTACAAATTTCAAATACAATTTAATGTAATTGCAATAAAAAAATTTAAAACTTGTAAACTTCAAACACTAATAATAATAATAATAATAATAATAATAATAATAATAATAATAATAATAATAATAATATTTATTTCCAAAAACGACAATTCACAAAATTGTATAGGAAAACGTCTAAAATATAAGTAATATAAAATACATATAGAATTGTAAACATTTACATATTGTTAAAAAAAAACATATTTTAGCATAACAGGATAACTTAATATAAAATACATATAGAATTGTAAACATTTACATATTGTTAAAAAAACATATTTTAGCATAACAGGATAAAATTGTAGTTATTGTTCAAAATATTCTTCAATAGAATAAAAACTTCTTTCTTTTAGATACGAAGATACAGCATTTTTAAATTTACGAAAGTTATTTAATTTTATAATATTACTAGGTAACTTGTTATACAATTTTATCGCTGTTATTATTGGGCCTTTGTATACTTGCGTTAAATTGT